ACAGCCTTGCAGTGAAGGAGTGGAAAGGGCAGGGCTGGGAGACTGGAACCTTGTCCCCATTTTGAGAATAAGTGACCTAACAGGTCACAGAATCAGGGACTCTATAGGAATCCCACAGGGACACAAAGGGTCAGGAGGTTATAGGCCTGCTCCTGGGTGGACAGTGAGGCAGCCCCCATGTAGGGCCCAGACACTGGCTCTGGCTCCCAGCCAGACTCATTCCCCTCCCCTTGAATGATTCAGGACGCAAGTGTGATGTGGGTAGGGGTTGGGGTTAGTCAAGCCTCCTGCACAGAACTGGGCACAAGCTCCGTAGCCCTAGGCATAGTTGTTACAGGCCTTAGAGGAAATGTGACCATGTTTGGGCCTAGGCTGGGTCAACTGGGCCCTTCCTGGGATCTGGGAGACTCCCCCCCTCCCCATCACCCCTCTGCTGGGCCCCAGGCCTAATCCAGCTTAATGAGTACATGCGGCCTAGCTCAGCATTCCAGGGCCGCAAGGCCAGCCCAGACGCCTGCCTCTCCCCACAGCACGGCCAGGATGGGGTCTGGAGAGGGTCTGCAGTGGCAGAGGAGACCCTGGGAGTTGGGCACAGACGCCAGGTGGGTGCATCAAGGGTGGAGGGGGCAAACAGGCTCTCAGCAGTCCAATGGGTGGCCAGGCAGCTCATCTGCTATAAGTGACCCCCACCTGTGGCTGTGGCAAAGGACCTGGTTCCAACCATGTGAGCCTCTCAGTATTAGGGTACAGCGGCCTCCTCCCTTTGACTGTGACACTCAGCTATCTGCATGTGCCCAGCCTAGCCACCTGTGGCCCAAAAGAGGCCCATCTGTCCCAGGGGATTTGAGTTCCTGTCCCCCTGCTGCACTGTGCCAGTCAGCCCTGTGAACAAGTAGCTGTGAGCTGGATGGAGGTCACACCTAGCCAGGTTGTCAGCCAGCAATCTGACCATCTGGGTGAAGCCTTCAGCTGGAGTCAAAGGTGCCAGGAGGCAGCCCCTTCTCCCTGCGACGAGGCTGGTACCATTGCTTAGATAGGGTTATTCTCAGGTATGCTTGTTAGTGAGCCCAGCTCCACGCTGGGAAAGCCAGATCCCACATTTTTGCCCTTGCTCCCAGGCAGCAGTAAAGATTTTGCTTTATGAAATAAACTGTGACCTTGCTAGTTCCACACCCTGGGAGACATGCAGGCACAGGAACTCAATCCTGGCCCAGCACATACTTCCTTGTGGGCTCAGGCAAGTCCTTTGGCTTCTCTGAGCCCCCTCCTCAAACACACTTACTCTAGAAAAGGCAACTTCGGTGTTTGTGAGGTGTGTGGTGTTACGCGGGGCAGATTCCAAATACATAGGTGTGTTTGGGATTGAGCCAGGGGAAGCGCAGGAAGACACGATACCTGGTGGGTTGCGCATGAAGGCTTGGGGAGGAGTGGGCTCCCCTGGGCACCAGGCCTGGAGAGGCTATCAGATGCCTGGACCTGGGGAGCAAAACAACCAACGCTCCATTTTCCCTCAGAGGAGAAAATGGCCATTTCTGAAGTATTTAGAGCCTATGGACAGTGAGGGGTGAGTAAGGATCCTAATTCATCTTCAGTCTTTGCTTTTGTTGCTGGGAAACCCTTATAGCCTCAGATGTGGGAATTACTACCATGACCTGTGGCTGCTGTTTATACTGCTGTTATGTGGCTCTTCTATATGTCTTGTTTTAAATGACATGAAGTATATAAAAGCAAAGCACCCATCTATGTTAAACCCTACTGACTGATGATTTTGGGGCTGCGGGGGGCTGGCAGGAAGTGATGGAGCAGTCATACAGGGCAGAGAAGGGGCAGTGGGGTGCAGAACAGGCACAAAGCCCTGTTCAGCTGCTGGGTGGGGCCCATGGACCAGTAAATATCTGGAAAACTATGAAGCACCCGTCACCTTTCACGATGCATGCACAGCACTGGCCTCTGCACCTTTACTCCAAGCTGGACAAATGAGGAAACTGTGCCTTGTGTGGAGGTGACCTGGTTGTGTAGAAGGGGAGAGTTCAGAGAGACCCAGGATCCCATCCTGGTCACCCCTTGTTAATCTGAGCAGCCCCTTCTCCTGGCTCTGAGTCTCAAAAGGTTGTGGGGGGAACAGGTGGAACTGGCAAGGGGCTTCCCAAAAGCATGTAACAGGGAGATGGACAAGGGCAATCTCCCCAATACAAACTCCCTTCTTCACACACACCCTACAAATCATGAGGCCAGCTTGGCAGGGCCTGGCCGCTATCCTGCACCACCAATAGCAGCACAGTAAATAGGTGACAGGAATCAAGACTAACTTAGCACTGGAGCTACACTGAGGGCCATAGCAAGCAAGGGCAATGTGGGAACATGGGTTTTATGGACATGTGAGGCGTGGAGCAAAAGATGGAATGAGCTCTAAATTGAGGACCTGGGTTCCAGATCTTGCTCTGCTACCTCTTTGCTGTGTGCCACTGGAACCTCAGTCCACTATCTTGGAATGGGGTGGAGGTTTCTGTCCACCCACCTCACAGGGCTTCTGTAAGGATCTAGAATGTTCCTGAGGCACCCACAGGGGTACTCTACCCCTTATACCTACCAGCAAAGAGGTGCCTTCTGGTCCAGTTATAGGGAGATTGTCATTCTGTTGTCAGGGTCCCCACCCTGAGGCTTACAGCAGTGAGGAAGGGAGAGGCAGGGAGGCCACTATAGGACCAGGGCAGTGAAGACCTTGACTACAGGTCACAAGCCTGGAGGTAGCAAAGTCAGGCCTAGAGCCAGGGCCCTCCCAGGGCTACCATAGGGGTATCCCAGTTGCATGATGGCCAGTGACTGCAGCTCCACACCCAAGGGGGAGCCTTACAGGCCCATAATTTGTAAGCTCAGAATAGCTCCAGATCTTCAACTGTACTGGATACAGCCTTTCCCATCTTTAGGACCCTGTTAAGCACATAAAATAAGGCGATGTCTTTCCTTCCATGAGACACCCTCTCCTCCGCACACCAACCTGCGGCAGGATACCTGTCAGTATAAATCCTTGCTTAGGTGTGGCCAGGCAGAGACCTGTATCCGCATCTTTCCAGGGGGTGGGGAAGACCTTGAACCTGAGTTTGGAGTGAATGTGCCTCCTCCTTGGAGCCTGCTGCCCCTAAGGAGGAGCTGCCAGGAACTTGACCTCAGTTTTCCCATCTGTCAAATGGGGGTGACCCCACTTGTCCTACCACAAGGATTTTGCTAGGTAAGCAGAACCAGGGAAGCTTGTGAGTGCAGGTTCTGTCAGACATTACTATCTCACTAAGAGGACACAGGCTCAGGGGGCCAGGTGGCCTGTGCCAGCACCTAGGTCTCTGACTCCTGGTAGCCTGTCCACTACACTTCACTGGTTTCCTTGGGCAGGCCCCCCTTTCTCCATCTTCAAAATGAGGAGGGGCACCCACACCCTGCCACCCTACATGGGTGCTAGAGAACAGTTAGTGGAGGTAAGGTGCCAGAGAGAAGGGCATGTTAGAGGAATGCTCTCCCTGGGGCCAGCTGAGTAGGCAGTACTCTGGAGCCCCAGGCTGGGCATCCTTTCAGTCAAGCCAAGTCTTCTGCCAGGACTCAGGCCCTCCTTGTGGGTGAACCAGGTGAGCCCAGGCAATGTGCCCAGAATGTGGCCGGTCCTCAAGAGGCCCAGGACACAAACCCTGCTCACCCCCTACAGTCATGAGTCCCAGCCCCCTGGCAAGCCCCACTCAGCCAGCAGACATTCTGGAGCACCTGCTGACTTGTGGGGATTCCATGGAAGGAGGTTACAGTGAAAAGAAACAGGCACAGTCACTACAGAAAGTAAACAAACTGGCAAGTGCCTAGGTGGGCCTAACTAAGGCCAGGGTCCAGGTGTTTCCTGGGAAAACAACGAGAGGTCTGAGAACAGTGGGAGTTGGTGGTAGAAGGCCTAAGCACCTAGTGGCAAATGGTGGGTGGCAGCACACAAGAGTGAGTCTGTCCAGTGCACACATCACCTCCCCACTTCCCCTGATGGCCCATCAAGAGAGCGCTGCTTTGTTCCTGTGTCACAGAAAAGGGCCTCTGTGCCTATCTCCCTCCAGGATAACATGTCTCTGACCTGGGTCAGACAGTTTGTGATGTGTGGAGCCCAGCAGGCATTCTAGGGCACAGGTAGTCCTTGAAGGGGTAGGGAGGGAGTGCAGGGAAGCAACAGCCAGACCCTGATGGAGGTGTGGTGAGATGGGTCCCTTCATATTAAGTTAAAGGTGTCCAGATGGGGAAAATCCAAAGGTCCCTGGATTGGACTTCACTGCCCTCCATAGACAGCTGAGGCCTGGGCATTCCTCTCCACCGTAATGACAGGCAGAATGACCCCTAGTTTGTAAGAACATGATGGAACCACCTATACACCTAAGAAGCTAAAAAGAATCTGGATGTCATAGTAGGTCACAGGCATGAAGAGGAACCTAAAAAGCAGAGTTATATGATACACACTGTGAGGTAACTTGGTGGAAAGTTCCAGTCCCAGCTCTTCCAGATAAGACCTGTTACCTCTTTGAGCTGGACAGTACAGCAGAGTATGGCTTTCCTTCCTTCTATGCCAAAGCCAGGGACTAGACTAAGCTGCCAGGGGTGCCTTGGGTTCCAAGGTAGTCAGGGGTCAGTGACAAATCTGAGGCCCAGGCATGATGAGCAAAGATGCAGCATCCTCCAGCTCCAGAGGGGCTGTGCTGAGAAGGCAGTGTGTAGACCAGTGCCACTCCAGGTGTGGTGCTCTCCAAATGGCATCTTGACTGTGGGAAGCTGACCAGGGTGGGTGCCAGGGTTCACATCCCCACAGAGGCCAAAGGGGCAGCAAGCATGTTTCTGACCACCCCAGCAGAGGAAGGCGAGACTAGACAGTGTTCCCAGTGCCCTCTTCCCTGCCCCTGCCACTGGGCAGGCGAGGGTCTGGTGGGTAGGTGCAGACTGGCACCGGCTGGAGGCCTGGGGCTCACACACCCGTTCCCCCTCACCAGGCCTGCAGGGATTTCCTGGAACTAGCAGAGACACACAGCCGGAAATGGCAGCGGGCACTGCAGTATGAGCAGGAGCAGCGCGTCCACCTGGAGGAAACGATTGAGCAGTTAGCCAAGCAGCACAACAGCCTCGAGCGGGCCTTCCGCATTGCTCCTGGCCGGCCCAGCAACCCTTCCAAGAGCTTCAGTGAGGGTGAGTGTGTGTGGGCTGGCCAGTGAGTTGGGTCTGTCCCTTAGCCCTCAGACTCTCACATGGCCACTGGTGCCCCTATACATGCCTCTTAATGTGTTCACATGTGGGCTTGTGTCTTGGGCAACCCTTGGCCTGCCTCTCCATGGCTTCATATGTCCCATCCCCATGACTGACCGACAGTAGTATCCCTATACTAGGTTTAGATTCTCAAAAGAAATGTTAACTGAGCACAACTGTCACCACCCCCTAACCTCAGGCAGGGGGGTCCATCAAAAAGGCCACAGACTGAGCCGGGTACTGAGAGATCAGGGAGGCTTCCAGAGAGAGGCCTTGAGCAGTGACTACGATGAAAGGAAAGCACCTTATTCCAGGAAAAGGGAACAAGGGAAGCACAGTGCAGGGTGCAAGGGAAGGAGGAGGAAAGGGACAGAGGAGGAAAGCCCTTGGCTCTGGACTTCTTCAGGGAGGCAGGAGGGGCCTTTCTGAAATTATGAACTAAGGCAGCAACTCTGCATGTGTCTCTAGGAAGCCTCTTGACTACCAAAGGAGAGGACAGCGAGGAAGATGAAGATACTGAGTACTTCGATGCCATGGAAGACTCCACATCCTTCATCACTGTGATCACAGAGCCCAAGGAGGACAGGTGTGGCTCTCCCCAGGCGGGGACGGCTTTAGTCAGGAGCCTCTCCCACCTTGTTCTTAGGCTCCATCTGCTTTCTTTCTATCATATATATATATATATATATATACACACACACACACACACACTTGGGGGATTCCTTCTTTTCAATCCTTTAAATAGGATTTTTGTTTAGATTCTTTTGTTCCTTAAATCAAAAATGCCCTTGTAAAGTTTACATGACAATTTTAACTGAAAATGACAATGGAGAGGGTGGTGCCTGTGACTCAAAGGAGTAGGGCACCGGCCCCATATGCCGGAGGTGGTGGGTTCAAACCCAGCCCTGGCCAAAAACCGCCAAAAAAAAAAAAAATGACAATGGAGAAAAGAGCATTGTCTGGATCCAGTTCCAACTTGGAGGTATAGGGGAGAGGCTGGGTCCCACAGGCTATGGTCTAAAGATCCCAGATCACTCATTCTTGCTTCAGAGTTGCAATGGGTCTTAACAGCTCCCTCCACTGTGTCAGGAGTGATGGATGCAGAAAGTTTCTCATTTTGTATTTCCAAGCCTTTGTTTGATTTTTCTTAAAAGCTTACTCTTTCAGCATGTTTTAAATATAGTCACTTGAGACTTAACAATGGGGATACAATCTGAGAAATGCTGCAGCAGATGATTTCATCATGATGAGAACGTCACAGGGTACATGTCCACACACGTGGCTGACCTGGCCTTCCACACACCAGACCAGGGGGTAGTGCTGCAAACATGTATAGCATGTGACTATACAGAATACTGCAGGCAGTTGTAACACAATGGCAAATGTATACATATCTAAATACTGAAAAGGCACAGTAAAAATAGTATGATAATCCTAAGGGACCACCATCTCATATGCCATTATTAACTAAAACATCCCTGTGTGGTGCACAACTATACACACAGAACACACAGTAGTGACCAAGACATATGCTTACTAGCAGTGAAAATAATGTTGTTGGGATCCACAGGAAATGCCCATTGGTGTGGCCAATGCCACTGCACAGCCATGTGCAGTGGGAGAGCGTGAGACAGGCTGGGTGCAAATGGCTACTCCTTTTTCACTTGGAGCTGTGTCCTCCCACATGTATCACTTCTCCATTCCAGTGTCTTCCAGGGAAAGCACTGTTTGACTCCTTTCCACCCTTCAGGGAGTTTTCAATCCCATCAGCAGCTCACAATTATTTTCTATTTCCTGGGGACATTTTTAAATTACTCTCAAAGTTCATGGCTCAGCTGTTCTGAACTAACTTCCTCCACATCCCCAGCAGTGTTAACAGTCTCAACTCTGTAGCCAGGAAGATCTTGCTTGGGCTTCCACAGCCCTGCCTACCCTTCATAGGCCTGGAGCTCCCAGACCTGGGCTCTGTATTGATGAGGTGCTTCTTCCCATGTCCTGAGATTCTGACTGCTCCTGTCCTGCCAGCCTGGGTCACCTCTCCCATAGAGCCTGGGCCCCCTCAGGCACGGTGACCCCTTCTGTGGGCCAACCATCTCCGCCACAAGTACCCATGGGCTCTTGAAGGCTTTAGACCCCCCTCCTTTTCTTCAGGAGGCCCAGTCTAGTGTGCAAGTCAGAGGAACGGCCGTCAAGGACATGTGGGGACACAGGAGGTCTGTGACAGAAAGGGCTCCGTGAGGCTCTCCCAGAGGTGATGTCCACCCCCAGCTTCATCTTGGGTCTAAGTCAGCCAGCCTAGGAAGCTTAGGGTACAGGGACCCTATCCAAGGGCTTTCATAAGCAGCTACTGCCAGGGACATCAGCAGGTGGGGACTTCCCCATATTGCTGCCCTGGGCCCCTCAGCCTCTACCTTCATTGTCCCGAATTGGAGATTCCCCCATTAGAAGCAGCCTTGAGTGGGTGCCTTCAGCCTTCACTGAGACATCTGGAGAGAATGTGGGGGTAGCTCCCAAGGCCTCAGGATTTGTCAGTAACTTGCTTCATGGTTGTGTGTACTGCAGAAAAGCTGAAAGTGGAACCGGGTCAGGCTATGTGGACTGGGCCTCATCAGACAACATAAATGAGGTAGGTGTACCCTAAGAATTAATAGGAGGCTCTTGCTTAGAGCCAGGCTCCAGGTGGCTGAGGGAAATAGGCCTGCACCAAGAGCTAGGGGCCACCAGATAGCCCTGCACTCTGACTACCTTTAGGTCCCTAATCTGCTTCCCATTCAGAGTTCAGGCAGAGCTGGCCTGCCCTCCTGGCCAGCAGTGTGCTAGAGGCCTCACCCTCAGGGGGTCAGAGGGCAAGGCAGGGACCTGGAGACTGAGGGAGAGATCTGGCCTCCACTGATGGCTGTGCCCTGCTTCTCTGGCAGGTGCTAGATGGTGCCTCACTTATACCCAAGGATTCATCCAAGGTCAAGAGAAGAGTCCGTATCCCCAACAAGCCCAACTACAGCCTTAACCTCTGGAGCATCATGAAGAACTGCATCGGACGGGAGCTCTCCAAGATCCCCATGCCGGTAGGGGCTGGGACAGGGTAGCCTCAGTGGGCCTCTGGGGCCATTTTCCTGTCTGTGGACAAGAATCTATGGCCTACGTGAAGTACACCCAGCCCTAGGGTGTTAGTTTCTTAACAGCATGGGAGGAGTCTATAAATATTTAATCCTGTTTGTTAGTGTTGTCCAATTGCCTGGAGAGCAGGGTCTTCAGGCTGTGAGGGGAGGGGCTCGCTCAGAGACGTGGGGAACCCTGAGCATTCTGGACCTGATGAGGCTCAAAGTCTTGACTGCTCCGATTCCAGAGAAGGAGAATAGCAGGATTGAGCTGTGGGGCAGGGGCTGGGGGCTCCTTTATGCTGGGACCCATCATGGTACCATGACCCTTCATGGTACCTTCCGCCATGAAGCAGAGGCTCAGCAGGGTCACACGGTAGGCCAAGGGCAGAGCTCAGACTCTTGTGCCACCAGACTGTGGTAGCATCTCCACCAAGGAAGGACTCCAGGCCAACTGGTTTCACTGTGTGACCCAGAACAAGTCCCTTCACATTTCTGGTCTCTGTGTCCCCGTTGCACAGGGCAGAAGCACAGGGCCCCTTTCACAGCCTCTGAGAGGAGATAATTCAGGGAAGATTCTCAGCCAGTGGCATCACAAGGGGAGCATCACACTGACCTGAGACTCAGACAGAGACCTTAAGTATCACCTGTCCTGCACCAACCCCTCCATGGGGAACCTGTATCACAGCTGGCATGTGAGGAAGACCCACTTTCTGCACTCATGGATGCATTTGTTCATTCACTCATTCTTATTCCTATGATTCAGCACTGAACATGTAACTGTGGGTGAGTCAGAAACCCTGAACTTTATGGGGTGTCCCTCCTCACAGGGGAGAGTGACAGTGATCATATGTGGGTTACCATGTAAGTTTTGAGACAGACTGTGTTATGGTCCACTATTTCACTTTCAAGAAACTCAGTATCCTTTCAGATTCACTTGTGCAAATTTCAGCTTGCTCAGCTTATCAGTGTTGCTGGGAGGGTTTCATTTGTTTCTGCCTGCACAGATTTTACATTTCTTGATTTTTGTGTTTGTTTTTCTTTGTTTTTTGTTGTTGTCTCACTTTGCCACCCTTGGTAGAGTGCCATGGCATAGCTCACAGCAGCCTCAAACTCTTAGGCTGAAGTGATTCTTTTGCCTCAGCCTCCCAAGTAGCTGGGACTACAGGGGCTTGCTACAACACCCAGCTATTTTATTTTTCTTTTAGAGACGGGGTCTTGCTCTTATTCAAGCTAGTCTTGAACTCAGTGAGTTAAGTGAGCTTGGGTGAACTCAAGCAATCCACCTGTCTCAGCCTCCCAGAGTGCTAGGATTACAAACGTGAGCCACCATGCCTGGCCTTGATTTTTGTATATCTTAAAATTTTCATAATGACCCAGTATGCCAGAAGGTACGGAAGGCTAGGGAGGAAACTAAGGCAAGAGGGGGCCAAGGAAGTGACAGCATGTTGGGGGGTGATGCTGCAGTGTTGGTCATACTCATCCAAGGAACCTCACTACAAAGGTTTCATCTGAGCAAGGATGACTCTGAACACCTGAGGAAAGTCAGGGTGCTGTGCCAAGCCAGGTGCTGGCTCCTGCCTGACCACTTAGCCACCCACCTGCAGGTGAACTTCAATGAACCGCTGTCGATGCTCCAGCGGCTGACTGAGGACCTGGAATACCACCACCTGCTGGACAAGGCCGTGCACTGCACCAGCTCCCTGGAGCAGATGTGCCTGGTGGCTGCCTTCTCTGTGTCCTCCTACTCCACCACCGTGCACCGCATCGCCAAGCCCTTCAACCCCATGCTGGGGGAGACCTTCGAGCTGGACCGCCTTGATGACATGGGTCTGCGCTCCCTCTGCGAGCAGGTGAGTCGGCCAGCCTGGTGCCAGGCAGCCCACTCACACCTTGGCCAAGCTCCTGCCAAGCCCAGGGTCAAAGCAAGACAAATGGGATGTGACCTCTAACCCTGACTGCCTATGCCCAAGGGGCTGTTATGCTGAGTTTTAGCTGGGCAGCAAGGCCTCCATAGCAGAGGGATGGAGGAGAGCCTGGTGAGGACAGAACTCAGTCCGATGTGTGAGGAAGGGGAAGACATAGCTCCTGGCCAAGAAATCATGGAGCAGAAGTGGAGAGACATCAGCAGGCCTGTGGGAGAGTCTTCGCAGGCTGCAGCATGGGGTCACCACTGAGTTGAACAGCAGCAGGCATGGGGAACCTGGGCCATGCACCTCAGGATGGACCACCCCCACCTTCTGCATCCCTTCCCTGAGAGGACGAGGCGAGACCCAAGTCCAGCAGGCTGGGAGCCTCAGTTCATTATGGGAAAAGAGGCAAATCTGTTGGTGCCTGTATGACTCTGGCTCCTGGGATGAGCATAGGAGGTCAAGAAGTCACCATCTCCAGCCAGCTAAAGGTTCTAGCTATTGTGAGGACCCATTAGAAGTGGTTTCAGTGACCCATGCAGGGGTGTGTGTGTTACCCAGACCCTGAGGGTGGGGAAGCCAGAGCCAGCAGGTTTGCTAACACTTCAAGTGGCTGATGCGGGCAGTCAAGGTAACCCCAGGGTCCTCAGCCTGAGCCACTGAGGGAACAGCTCTCTCCATTCAGCACTTGCTAAGTGCTTACACCTGCTGGGGCTGTTCATGCCTGAGGGTATGGCTGGGAAATGAACAGCTATAGTTCTTGTTCCCATAAGCTTAGAGGGCAAGGACAGGTATCCTAGATGCTTCTGGCTCTTTTAGAAAGGGGGTGGTCAGGAAGCAGTTTGGCTGGCACAGAGAATGAGGGGAGGAAAGGACTCTAGCTTCACTCTGTGTGGAAGGCCAGACCCTGACCTCGGGGGATCCTGCCAGCTGCAGTGGGCAGAGTGGGCAGGGAGACAGGGGTAGGCATAGTATCAGGGGCAGATGCTGGGTGCTTTGTAGAAAGCGTAGACAGCCTTTGCTTGGGATTAGATGGGGCTTGGGAAATAGCATCAGGGAGACTCCAAAGCAGTCGGTGGAGGTTGATCCTGTAATCAAAGTATGGAGGAGGCAGAGTTCCGGGGCCAACCCTGTTTGGTCACATCTCTGTGACCCTTATTGCCCCTGAGGACTTACAGAGGCAACAGCTGAGCTCCAGGACAGTTCACTTGTCTCTTGGAGCAGGTGCCAGGTTTAGCTTGCACGTCTGAGGCATAGGAAGCAGGTGGGGTTGCCTCTTATGCAGACGGGGGACTCGTGATGGAGCAGCAGGAGCCCAGCTCTGCCTGGTCCGGTTGAGCCTATCTGAGGGGAGGTGTCCAGGAGCACCAGGAAGCCAACAGGCTAGGGCTAGTGCCCTAGGGAATAAGTAGGCTGGGAAGAGGGGCATCTGGGGCCTTGCAGACACAGGGGTTGTGGGATAAGGAAAAACAGACAATGGAGACTGGGAGGTGGGAGAGCACTGGTGCAGGATGTCCTTTGCATGGCTGCAGTGCCGTGTACACTGGGGGCAGGGCAGGCTGCTGCTCCCTGGCTGGACAAGTGGTGCCTGGGCCTCTATGCTACAGATGCTCACATCCTCGGTCTGGTCTCAGGTGAGCCACCATCCCCCAGCGGCTGCACACTATGTGTTCTCCAAGCATGGCTGGAGCCTCTGGCAGGAAATTACCATCTCCAGCAAGTTCCGGGGAAAATATATCTCCATCATGCCACTGGGTAAGCTGGGGCCCTGTGCCTTCCTGGGACAGAAAGATATTCTGCTTAAGCAGGACTGTGTCAATGCAAAAGCTGGCTTGGGGCCTCCAGGAGAAACCTCCCTGCAAGTCTGCTGCTCTCCCCTGATGGGCCTCCTGCTGGTGCCTAAACTCACCCCTAGGCTAGAACGAGGGGGGGTGGGCATAACCTCTGACCTGTACCGGCCTCCAGGTGCCATCCACTTAGAATTCCAAGCCAGTGGGAATCACTACGTGTGGAGAAAGAGCACCTCCACTGTGCACAACATCATCGTGGGCAAGCTCTGGATTGACCAGGTCAGGGGTGCCCTGGGGGGTGGGGTATATGGCCTGAAGATTGGCTGCTAACCACAACCCTCTCTTGCCAGTCAGGGGACATTGAGATTGTGAACCATAAAACCAATGACCGGTGCCAGATGAAGTTCCTGCCCTATAGCTACTTCTCCAAAGAGGCAGCCCGAAAGGTAAGCAAGGACATCCTCAGAAGTTCAGGGGACCCAAAGCAGCACATGCACCTAGACTGATCCCATCAATGTCCATAGGTGTCAGGAGTGGTGAGTGACAGCCTTGGCAAGGCCCAGTACGTGCTGTCAGGCTCATGGGATGAACAGATAGAGTGCGCCAAGATTGTGCAAAGCAGCTCCAGTAGCCCCAGCTCTGACGGGAAGCAGAAGACAGTGTACCAGACCCTGCCGTCCAAGCTGCTGTGGAAGAAGTATCCACTACCGTGAGTAGGCCCCTCTGCAGACTACAGGACAGATGTCAAGGGAGAGGGTGAGGGACAGAGGCCAGTGAGTAGTAGACAGGCAGAAGACACACCACCCCACCCCCCTGCAACTTGGCCAGACAGGAAGAAGTGACAGGCACAGGAGGCTGGGGGTGAGAAGTTGGTTCACACATGGGCAAAGAACAATATTATGCAGTTGACACCCACCATGGAAGCCAGACACCCAACAATAAACAAGTGTGAAATTATCAGGTAGCAAATGCTACACAGAAACTTTAAACAAGGTGATGAGACAAAGTTCTTCCAAAAACCAAACTTAAAAATAACTAAGAAACAGAAAGTTATTTATAAAAAGTGGCACAGAAGATTCCAAAAAGAACAAAAGAGAAATTCTACAAATAAAAATAAAATAACTGAAATTGAGAACTCCATGCAACAGTTCAGTAAAATCTGTCACCTGAAAACGAGTCAGAAGAAATTATCAAACTGCAGCATAAAGAGACAAAAACTGGAATAGACATTAAGCTAGAGTGAGAAGACCTATCACTTAGTGGTGAAGAGTGAGATCCCTGAAACATGCTCACCAGCATCCCATGAGAGCTTTTTAGTGTGCGAGAATCTCCCTAAACCTCCTGTAATGGAATCTGCATTTTCAATTTGATCCCCATGGCATTTCTGTACACAGCATGTTTGAGAACAGGATTTGATATACTTCTAGTCAGAGGCCAAGAAAGAAAAAGAGACCATATCTGAAGAGAAAATAGAGAAGTTTCTATACCTAAATCTATACAGTGAAGAGGAAATATTAGAAGGTAAATTTTTTTTTTTTGAGACAGAGCCTTAAGCTGTCCCCCTGGGCAGAGTGCCGTGGCATTACAGCTCACAGCAACCTCCAACTTCTGGGCTCAAGCGAGTCTCCTGCCTCAGGCTCCCAAGTAGCTGGGACCACAGGCACCCGCCCAGCTATTTTTTGGTTGCAGCCGTCATTGTTGTTTGGCGGGTCCAGGCTGGGGATTCAAACCCGCCACCTTAGGTGTACGTGGCTGGCGCCTTAGCCGGTTGAGCTATAGGCGCCGAGCCGAAGGTAAATTTTTGTTGTTGTTTTTGAGACAGTCTTTGTTACCCTGGGGAGAGTGCCGTGGCATCAACCTCAAACTCTTGGGCTTGAGTAATCCTCTTGCCTCAGCCTCTCGAGTAGCTAGGACTACAAGCATGTGCCACTATGCCTGGCTTTTTTTTTTTTTTTCTATTTTAGTAGAGATGGGGTCCCACTCTTGCTCAGCCTGCTCTGGAACTCTGAATCTCAAGTAGTCCACCTGCTTTGGCCTCCCAGAGTGCTAGGATTACAGGCATGAACTACCGCGCCCCATCAAAAAGCCAGATTTTTTTTTAAAAGACATTACTTTCTGAAGAATAGCAGACTGACAGCTGTCTCCTCATCAACAATGATGGGAACTTAAAGTTAGATGATGTCTTCCATGTACCGAAAGATTCGCTGCTGGCAAATTGTATACCCAGGGAAACCATCCTTAAAGAAGGAAGCTGAAATAAGACATTTTCTGGCAAACAACTCAGTTTGCCACCAGCAGACCTGCTATAAAGGATATACCTTAAGCAAAAGGAACATGATCCCAGATGGAAGATCCAAAATGTATATGAATGAATGAATAAACAAAAGTATATAATTCCTGTGGGGTTTATAATTTTATTCCTCATCTATATAAGTCAGATGAGGAATAAATAGAGGGAAACTGTTCAAAGGCCCTGGAGCTACCCAGGAAGAGGAGAAGGATCATGACACACATAAGCTAAATCCAGGTCTGCCTGAAAAAAAAAAAAAAAAAAACAGACAAATATTACTTTTTTTTTTTTGAGACAGAGTCATATTCTTGCTTCCTAAGCTAGAGTTCCATGACATCAGCCTAGCTCACAGCAACCTCAAACTCCTGGGCTAAAGCGATCCTCCTGCCTCAGCCTCCCAAGTAGCTGGGACTACAGGCGTCCACCACATTGCCCAACTAATTTTTCTATTTTTAGTAGAGATGGGGTCTCACTTTTGTTTAGGCTGGTCTTGAACTCCTGAGCTCAAGGGATCCTCCTGCCTGGGCCTCCCAGAGTGTTAGGATTACAGGCATGAGCCACTGCGCCCAACCCAGATTAACTTCTCATTATATGAAATACCTATATTGTGATTCCTAGGGTAACTCCTAAAATAATACATTTAATTGGAATCCCAATCCCAGAAGGAGAAGAAATTTTTTTAAATGGAGAAGGAGAAATAGTTAAAGAAATAGTGAAGATACATTTCCCAGATGGAAGATCTAAGATGTATATGAATGAGTGAAGAACAAAACTGTGTGACCCTAAGTGTACATTGAATAAACAAGAATAAATTCCTGTGGGGTTTAAAAATTTTAAAAGATGAAATACATTGGATTAAAAGAGCCTATAGAATGCTAAAGACAAGAAATACAGAAAAACATTATTCTAGATAAAATTATACAGTCAAAATTAAGAATACCAAAGAGAAAATACAAAAGATTCCAGAGAGGAGAAAAAGTTTTCATTGAAGGATGAAGAATTAGATTGACATCAAATTTAAAAATGATTTTAAAAATCCCGACACATTTAGAATTTATTTAAGAGATAGAGTCTCATTCTGTCACCCATTCTTTGCAGTGGTGTGATCATAGTTCACTGCAACCTCAAATCCCTTGGGCTGAAGTGATCCTCCTGCCTTAGCCTCCTAAGCAGTTGGGACTACAGGCATCTACTATCATGCCTGGGTAATTTTATTGATTTATTTATTTTAGAGAAGTTTTGCTATGTCACCCAGGCTGGTATTGATCTCCTGGCCTCAACTGATACTGCCACTTCACTCTCCATGACATTAAAGGCATGAGCTCCCATCCCTTTAGTAAGTTAGTAACTTAAAGACTTTTAAGTTACTAAACAACTCAGGGGTTAAATATATTAGAATGGAAATTTTAAAATATGTAGAACTGCATGATATAAAAGAAATCAAAACTGGGGCAACGCCTGTGGCTCAGAGGAATAGGGCACTGGCCCCATATACCAGAGGTGGCAGGTTCAAACCTGGCTCCAGCCAAAAACTGCAATAAATAAATGAACAAATAAAAACTGGCTGGACACAACAAAGGCAATGGTCAAAGGAAATACAGGATAGCCATAAATTTTAAATTTTAAATTACACACAGACTTTATGGCCACCCTATATATATTGCCCTGAATAGTTTAAACCAAAGTTCTTCCTTTAAGAACTTAGAGCAGTGGTTCTCAACCTTCCTAATGCCATGGTCCTTTAATATAGTTGAGAACCACTGCCTTAGAGGAAGTTTAATGTATACCAAAGAAAGAAGAAAATATACTTGAATAGAAATCAGTAAAAAAGAAAAAGGCAAAATTAGTTTGATATAGCCAAAAGTTAATTCTTTGAGGGAAAGACAACTGACAAAGACAACTACTGGCAAAGCTGATCAAGACAGAAATAAATATTATTAATAGGCAATGTGTGGAGGCTCATGCCTGTAATCCTAGCACTTAGTAAGGCCCAGGCAAGAGAACTGCTTGACTTCAAGAATTGGAGACCAGCCTAAGCAAGAGCAAGACCCCGTCTATGTTAAAAATAGAAAAAATTAGTCAGGCATGGTGGTACATGCATATAGTCCCAGCTATTCAGGAGGCTAAGGCAGGAGGATCACTTGAGCCCAAGAGTGTGAGGTTGCAGGGATGCCACTGCATTGCAGCTGGGGGTGAAAGAGTCAGACTCTGTCGGGCAGCACCTGTGGCTCAGTGGGTAGGACGCCGGCCCCATATACCGAGGGTGGTGGGTTCAAACCCAGCCCTGACCAAATCGCAACAAAAAAATAGCTGGGTGTTGTGGCAGGAGCCTGTAGTCCCAGCTACTCAGGAGGCTGAGGCAAGAGAATCGCCTAAACCCAGAAGTTGGAGGTTGCTGTGAGCTGTGACACCACTGCACTCTACTGAGGGCAATAAAGTGCCCTCATTAAAAAATAAAGTGAGACTCTGTCTCCAAAATAATAATAACATAATAATGAAAAAGTTTTAATATGACATATGAAGTATAGAGATAATTAAAACTCAAATTGGAAGGATAAATTCTTAGAAAAATATAATTTACAAGAACTGACTCTAGAAGAAATTAAAAGTATGAATAGAACTATAATAATTAAAGAAACTGAAGCAATAGTTTAAAACATAAAACAAGGCCCAGATAATTTTACAGGTGAATGCTACCAAATTTTTATATAAAGTCATAAAGACCATTAAAAAAAGAGAAAATAGTCTCTCTCCTACTAGGGGGCCAGAATAACCCTTATACCAGTCCAGGCTAAGACAAAAATAGGAAAATGATAATTCTGTATTTCACTTATGAATATGTAAGCAAATATCCAAAACAAGATATCATAAAATCTAATCCAACAGTGTATAAAAAGGATAACATTCTATAATCATTGTGGATTTGCCTGGGCATACAAAAATTATTTATATTAGAAAATCTCTAAAGTAATTCATCATAATAATAGATTACAGTAAATACACATTTCAGAGAAAGCATTTTAGGTGCTTAGAAGATTAACATACAGGCTTGGCGCCTGTGGCTCAAGCAGCTAAGGTGCCAGCCACATACACCTGAGCTGGCAGGTTTGAATTCAGCCCGAGCCCACCAAACAACAGTGATGGCTGCAACCAAAAAGTAGCCAGGCGTTGTGGCAGGTGCCTGTAGTCCCAGCTACTTGGGAGGCGGAGGCAGGTGACTCACATGAGCCCAGGAGTTGGAGGTTGCTGTGAGCTGTGAGGCCATGGCACACCCCCAGGGGGATAGCTTGAGGCTCCGTCTCAAAAAAAAAAAAAAAATAAATTCACTGGGTGCAGTGGCTCAGGCCTGTAATCCCAGCACTCTGGGAAGCCAAGGTGGGTGGATCGCCTGAGCTCACGAGTTTGAAACCAGCCTGAGCCAAAGGGAGATCACATCTCTAAAAATAGCTGGGCGTTTTTCCAGTACCTGTAGTCCCAGCTACTCGGGAAGCTGAGGCAAGAAAATTGTGTGAGCCCAAGAGTTTGAGGTTGCTGTGAGCTGTGTGATGCCAGGGCACTCTACCAAGGGTGATAAAGTGAGACTCTGTCTCTACAAAAAAAAAAAAAAAGAAGAAGAAGATTAACATACAAATCAGTTGCATTTCTATACACTAACAGCAAACTAGAAAAATGCACTTTAAGACACCAGTTATTATCAGAGAACATCAAGGACCTTGTAATAAATCTTGTAATATATTCAAGACCTCTATAAGGAAAATTATAAGTTTTACAAAGAGATATCAAAGAAGAAGAGCTAAGTAAATGGAGAGAGAGAGAAAGTGTTCATGGATAGAGAGTACTGTAAAGATGTCATGATCTAAAAAGTCTAAAAATCCCTATAGGAATTGTAATGGAATTTGATGTTAGAATTTTTAAATTTGTATTGAAGAATAAAGGACATTTCTGAAGAAACTAGAGAAAAGAGGACTTGCCCTACTAGGACTATTATTTTGAAACTATAGTATAAAGAAATACTGAGCCCAGAAACAGATTCATGGATGTATGTATATCTGATACAACAAATTTGGTATGTCAGATAACGTGGAAAGATGGAACTGTTCACTAAATGGATCTGGGAAAAATAGTGATCTGAAGGAAAAATGGAAAACAATGAACTGAATCTCTCCTTTACACTGTAACAAAAACCAACTCCAAATAAAGGTCTTACAGTAGGTATTAAGTTTGACTTTTAATTAATAATTCTTTTGTTGTTGTTGTTGTTGCAGGGGCTTGGTTCAAACCCACCACCCTCAGTATATGGGGCCAGTGCCCTACCCACTGAGCCACAGGCACTGCCCCCTTTTAATTAATAATTCTAAGTAAAACATATAGATGAGTATCTTTAAGACCTTAAGAAAATATATTGTAGGACACAAAAAATCATTGATACGTTTGACTATATTAAAATATTTTTGTTTCATTAAGAGAACTTTTGCTCATTAAAAGACAATTTAAAGATAGTAAAAAGACAATGTATAAACTTGGGGAGGTAAGAGGATTAGCATCAAGAATACACAAAGGTAGCTAGGCATCATGGCTCATGCCTGTAATCCTAGTACTCTGGGAGTCCAAGAAAGGCAGATTGCTTGAGCTCAGGAGTTTGAGACCAGCAAGAGCAAGACCAAGTCTCTAAAAATAGCCAGATATTGGGCGGCGCCTTAGCTCAGTGGGTAGGGCCCCAGCCCCATATACAGAGGGTGGAGGGTTCAAACCCAGCCCCAGCCAAACTGCAACAAAAAAAAAGCCAGGCACGGTGGCGGGCACATGTAGTCCTAGCTACTCTGGGAGGCTGAGGCAAGAGAATCACCTAAGCCCAGGAGTTGGAGGTTGCTGTGAGCAGTGTGACGCCATCGCACTCTACCAAGGGTGACAAAGTGAGACTCTGTCTCTACCAAAAAAAAAAAAAATAGCCAAGTATTGGGGTGGGTACCTATATAGTCCCAGCTACTCGGGAAGCTGAGGCAGGAGGATCCCTTGAGCCCAAGTGTTTGAGGTTGCTGTGAGCTACAGTGCCACAGCACTCAACCCTGGGTGACAGAGTAAGACTCTGTCTCAAAAGAGTAAAAAAATATATATGTAAAATATCTGTATATGAATGTGCATAGAGAGAGAGAAACACTGACTTAGAATACGAAAAGATGCAATAAAATTTAATTAAAAGGAAAGCAACAGACTAGCATCCAGGAGTCTTGCTTTTGTGTCTATCTGAACAGGAGATGGATTGGCAGGTTTTCAATATAGTTAGATGTAAGGCTTTGTTGGGATGCTACCCTTTTGTTCAGGGTGGCAGTACTGCATTTATAAATGCAGACCATGCAAGGACCAATAAAGATAGGTATCAAGTACCAAGGATTACAACTAATTCAAATTTGTGAGGTCCAAAAAGAACAAAATAAGACAGTAGATTTAAATTCAACATATCTGTACAGTAATTAAGTGATTTCAGACAGGTTTTTAAAAACTCACTATACATGGTTTACAAGAAATACATCTAAATAAGAAAAAACTGGAATAAAAGGATGAAAGAAGATATATCTTCAGAAATACTGCAAAAAAACTGCAGTAAGGGGGACAGTTCATAATAATGGTTAGTTCACCAGAAAATAAGTTTTAAATTTGAATGTACCCTGTACCTAATAACATAGCTTCAAAATGTGCACAGATACAGCAAAATGCAGATAGAAATATTAGGAGAAAGGAACTAAATTTATACCAAAGTGGGAAAGTCTGAATAACAACTCAACAGCTGTAGCAAACATATTTTCTTCAATCACATGGAACACATATAGAAACTGACCAGATACCAGGCCACAAGGCAAATTTGAAAGGGCTGAAATTATGCTAAGTATAACAGTCTGACTCCAAGGCAATTATTTTAGGAAAAAATAAGTAGAAAACTTGCCTTTTATTTATTTAAGAAATTTGTTTTTATCCCAGCAAGGTGGTTCACACCTGCCATCCTAGCACTCTGGGAGGCCCAGGTGGTGGACAGCTTGAGCTCAGGAGTTCCAGAACAGCCTGAGCAAGAGCAAGACCTGTCTCTACTAAATGTACTAAAAATAGAAAAATTAGCCCCACCTTGTGCAGGGTGCCTGTTGTCCCAGCTACTTCAGAGGCTGAGGCAAGAGTACCACTTAATAAGCCTAAGAGTTTAAGGTTGCTGTGGGTTACAACTCCACACATTCTAGCCTAGGGCAACAAAGTCTCCAAAAAAAAAAAAAAAAAAAGAAAAGAAGGAAATATGCTTTCAACTAATTGGTAGAGTAGAAAATTTGCCATATGTTATAAATTTAAGAAACATGCTTTCAAATAATTTGTAGGTCAAAAAAGATAAAATGAAAATTAAAATGTTTGTAACTTAACATTGTTACACACCAAAAGTATTGGGATTCAGCTAAAGCAGTCCTTGGGAGTGAAACGCGTAGCCTTCAAATGCACATAATAGAAAAGTTGAAAAATAGTAAGCTAAGACTCAGCAATTCCTGGGTATGACTAATGTGGCAAAACAGTTGCAGGGTGGTGAAGTGTTGGAGGTGCCAGGGGTAAAAAGTTGCCTGCAGCACCTGGGTTTGGCTGGGTCAGTTCATCCGGGGCATCCCCGGGCACTGGGAAGGTCCTTCCAGGCCAGATAGACGTGGAGGGTGAGGAGGCACAGGGGCCAGGAGGCTGGACCCCTCCCAGGCAGGGAGAGTTGGCCTGGGGACAGAGCGCAGGTCGGCTCAAACTGCTGCCCCTGCCATGCAGAGAAAACGCAGAGAACATGTACTACTTCTCGGAGCTGGCCCTGACCCTCAATGAGCATGAGGAGGGCGTGGCACCCACGGACAGCCGCCTGCGGCCTGACCAGAGGCTGATGGAAAAAGGCCGCTGGGACGAGGCCAATGCTGAGAAGCAGCGGCTGGAGGAGAAGCAGCGCTTGTCGCGACGACGGCGGCTGGAGGCCTGCGCACCCAGCGGCTGCGGAGGAGAGGAAGGTACGGTGGGGGCGGAGGGTAAGAGAAGGGGTGTTCAGTGGGGACAGAGGTGGGGTTCTGGGGATTAAGGCATCGGCCCACCTGCCACTGTGCCCACCCAGCAGAGAAGGAAGCAGAAGAGTACATGCCACTGTGGTTCGAGAAGAGGCTGGACCCACTGACCGGGGAGATGGCCTGCATATACAAGGGCGGCTACTGGGAAGCCAAGGAGAGGCAAGACTGGCACATGTGCCCCAACATCTTCTGAGCGCCACCCCCTGCAGCAAATACAGGCGCCTGCACAGCCCATGACACTTTTTCTTTAACACTCTCAACTTAATACCAAATGGCCCTTCTCCCACACCCACCCCTATTTCCTTTACTTTTATTTCTTTTTAAATACTTTTTAGGACTCCCACCTTGGAAGGAGGAAGGGCTGCCCGGGTTCTCTCCAGCCCCCAGGTGCGCCGGGTCACCCATGCCCCTTCATTATTGACTTGGGCCCCATCAGAACACCAGTTCCCAGTCTCTACAACTCAGACCGGCTGGCCCAGGCCATGGGCTGCCCAAGTCACCAGCCCCCAAGCCAGGGAGGAACTGCCCCCTCCAAGGGAGCCTCTTTTGACTTTTTTAGAAAAAAAGACCTCCTTTTCTTTCCAGCCTTGACGTTTAGTAAATATTTTTAGAATAGCACTTAGCAGACAGCTTTTCAAGTGTGCTTTCTTGCCACAAAAGTGTCCTGGCAAGAACCTTTTCTTTTTAAGACATCAGGAAGCCAGACCCCTTTGAAATCGGGAGCATTTTATAGCTCAATATAGCAAGGCCCTAACTGTATCTGAGCTGCCCACCCCCATCCCCAAGAGCCCAGGATCTCACAGAGACCAGAACATTAGGGGGACTGCTTTAGCCCAGCAGAGCATAAGAAGTTTCTGGATCTATACCCCACTGGTGGGGAAAAGTGCACTGAGGGCGTCCCCCGCTGTGGATTTTAAGGCAGCAGTCCCCAGCCTAGCTAGCTTGGACCATGCCTGGGCAGCTCCCTGGCCCCCAAGAGGCCAGGAAGGGCTGGAAGGCAGGGCCTGCAGGTGCTCCTCACCCTGAGACCCAGGCCCCAAATCAGCAATAATAAACAATCCTCAGTTCAGCCTGGGCTGGTGACCCAGGCATCAGCAACCCACGTCCCACCTTGTCCTCAGGTGGCTCCTGGGTTGCCCTGTCTCAGTGCCCCCTGAACTCTTTATTTGCCTAATTTATATATATGATATACAAATATATATATTATATATATATATATATATAAAATAGCTATTTTGCTTAAATTTCTATGGTATGTGAAAATGAAAAAAATGATGAAGACAGGGTACACCTGTCTGAGTTTGGCCCTTCTGGTCAGCTGTGCCCTGTCCTCTCCTTGTAACCCCTTCCAGCGGCTTCTGCCAACCCAGGGGGACTGGACCACCACGGCCACTGTCCCAGCCCCTCAGGACTCCCCATTCCAATCTTTCCTACTTTCAGTTTAGTCCTAAACATTCATTGCAGGGTTTTGCTTTCTACTCCACAATGGGTTTTGTTTTTATATATATATATAAAAAAACGAAGTGGAAACACCATGTGAAATGCCTTACGATGCCCACTTGAGAGGTGGGGCAGGGCGGCCCTACCTGGCTTCCCTGCAGAGCTGTGACATGTACCTCCCCTAACACTGTTTGTGAGTGAGCACCTTTTGACTGGTAATAAAAAAAAAAACCTTGGCTTTGGAGTTTTCCACTGCTCTGTCCCTTAATCTGTCCATGGCAGGGTAGACAGGACTGACACAGAAGACAGGTGACAGCCCAAGGTAGGATGGGGAGAGGAACATACAAAGATCGGTCTTTCACGAGCAGGAAGGCTGCCCAGAAAGCTGAGTTAGCACTATTAGGACAAACCCAGGGGAAGAGTTGCAGCTCTGCCAGAGGCTGTCTTAATGCCACTGCCACAGAGCTGGCCTAGACCCAGATCTATCCCTCCCCTAGAAGGGCAGTGTTTTAGCCATATTCAGGCCACTTCTCAAATCCTAGAGCTATCTAGAGTGAGACCTCTAAGAGAGAAGGCCTGCCCTGGTGAGTGCTATTTTTGCTTGACAACTGTGGCCTGGGCTGCTTCTGCTGCCCCAGGTGCCAAGCAATTCAGATCACTAGCTCCTCAGACCCAGCTAGAGTGGCTCGCAGTCTGGCCTGCTGGGTCCTCTTCCCACTACAGTTCTTCCAAGTGAGAAAATGGAGTAGGACAGTGCACCACAAGGGCTTCAGAGCCGGGGCTCTTACCATCCACCTCACTGCCCCAATACTGTGAGATCCAGAGCTGGGTCTGCAGACTTACCTCCTTGCCCTTGCTTCCCATCTATGGGGACTCCAGCAGAGGAGCAGAAGGGCAGTCTCAATGGACTAGGGTGGGGTTGGGGGTAACCCAGGATGGACCTGACCCAGAGGGCAGTGGAAGGGGCCTGCCTGGTAGGGGGACAAAGGCCAATCCACTGAGGCAAAGAGCCTGGAGTATACCAGGCAGATCTCTGAACAGGGAATGACATCAGGACACGGTTCTAGAAAGACTGCTCTGACCAGGACACAATATGGACCTATAGTTGGTGGTCTCCCCTACACAACCAGGCATCATTGATTAGAAAACTTAATAGAAAAAAAAGGATTCTGCAACATAGGCCACAGGAATCATAATAAGTCCAGTAAAAAAAAAAAATACAAAAACATGTAAAGACCTTCCTGGATATGACAGAGGAGTCCTGAGTGAAGAGGGAAAATGCCATCTTCACAGATAGGCAAACCTCAGTTATGCGAGTCCCAAATCTATAATTTCAAAATGACCCCTATCAAAATCCTACAATATAGTTAAAAAAAATAAGTTGACTGTAAAATGTATATGGGAGAATAATTGTACCCCCAAAATGGCTTAAAGACTTCTAAAAAAGAAAAACTCACAGTGGGGAAGGGCAATGTGGGCTTGACCTGCGGATGCCCAGAAAAGCTAGACAGCCACTGATAAACAGCTTCCTTTTTCTCCATTGCACTCAGATCACCATTTGGTATGCCATAAACACATTTTGTACTTATCTGTTGATTGTCCTCCCTACCCCTCAATGGACTGTGCCTGGCACACAGTAGGTGGATGATGCACAGCTGTTGAATGAATTAATTCCAGGCCAAGAAGACCAGCTAAAACACAGGCTCAGGGGTCAATACATGGACAGCCAGGGAGCACAGTTGCGGTAGCATGTTGTGAGAGAGTTCTCAGAGAGGAAGAGCTAAGGGTTTACCCCAACCTCTCGAATCCAAATGATTACGCCTGACAGAATATGGGCTAGTAAGTCTGAAAGAATCTGGAAGGTACAAGAGGAGACCTGAGGACTCCTCATCTCTAGGGCTGAGGCTACAGTGTGGGGAGGAGAAGATACAAGAGAGACAAATTTCAAAGTGTAAAGAGAACAAAGCCAGAGAAGACCCCAGTACTATTTAACTTATTTTTATGAAGCTAAGCAACATGCATAACTCCAACAACAAAACCTAATAAAGACAGTGCTAAAATATAAGTAGTATGCAGTCTGATCTCAAGTAAGAAAAAAATTCTTACAAATCCAAATAAGGCAATAGCAAATAGAATCCAGCCATATACAAAAGACTAATTCCCAAGTTGGTGAACTCATGCCCAAATTAGGTTTACTGCAGAAATGCAAGAATGTCTCAATATCAGGAAGCTTTTCATTATCAACATTCATTACATCAGTTCAAGGAGAAGTTCTCTTTCTGGCAATATGGTAAACAAGGTCCCTGGGAAAATTCCTTTATGGGAAACTACACATGTTGTATAAAACAATTTAAAATCTTAAATGCATGCATTAGCTGGAAAGAATGTAAGGAATATTCAGCCCAAATATTAAGTGGATGTGGAAACCTGAAAAGAGAAGAACTCTGAAATTTTTAACTTCACAGTCATTTACTAAGCCCATTGAGCCTAAGTTTTTGTTTGTTTGTTTGTTTGTTTGTTTTAGCCTAAGTTTTTAATGCTTCAATATACCTCCAAAGGTAGCCCCACCCCTTGAGGAAAATGGGCCCCCCAAAATAGGCCTTCAGTGTAATAGTGAACACAAAAGAAAACAGAAGGAAAATTGTTTTAAAGGCTAGTACTGAACAGAAGCTCAAAAATCAACTAAGAATTTGTAACTAGAAATAGACACTCAGTTTGCTTTGTATCCCAAATACACATTTTCTGAATGGTCCAATAAAACCTCTAACGAAATATAACATGGACTCAAATGTCCCTAGTCACCTAGGAGAAGAAAACAAGTGCTCTCTGAAGGATCTCCCCTTCATTCTAGGCCTTATGAAACCCCAGATATGAATTTGCAACAATAAGCAGCTCATAGGCACAAAATCTTTAAACGCACAAGGGAACAAGCCCCCCAGTGAACAAAAGCAACCAGAAATAACAGCATTATCAGATACCAGACTCCTTCACATAGTGAAAGTATCAGATACAGAATAGAAACTAAGTATATTTAACATATTTCTAGAAACAAAAGTGCAACTTGAAAATGAGTAAAGAGTAAATACTCAAAAAAATACTAAAGATTTCCAAAAAATAATTTAAATCACTAAAAATAATTCAGTGAATAATTTTATAAGGGATGATATAGACAAAGAGAATATTACTTATGTGGATTTGAGATCAGAGGAAATACAATGATCCAGGATACAATGCAAAGACACAAAGAGTTGAAAAATATAAAAGTTAAAAGGGAAGATGATGTGAGAAGGTTCCACATGTGTCTGATCTGTTTCAGGAGGAGAAAAGAGATTTTATTTTTTTCCTGGAGCATAAGCAATCTTTAGTTAAAAGCTGAAAGATTTTCAAGAACTCATGAAAACTCAAGAACTCATCAACTTTCAGAGTCAAGCTCAATAAATACTAAACCTGGTAAATAAAAAAAAGACATCTACAGCTAAACAATAAAATAAAACTGCAAGATCACTAACACAACAAAATCTTAAAAGCAATTAGACTTTTTTTAAATCACCTTCAAAGAGCATTTTTATACTAAGAATTGACCAGAAATAGAAGATAATAAAGCAATTCCTCCCAAATAGAAAAGAAAATGTCACTATTCTCCTCAAAATATCTTTCCAAAGCAAAACAAAGACATTAACAGAAATTTATCAAAATAGTATTAACAGTGTCTTGTGGAATTATCCTTTAATGAGTTAAATATTGTGTAAATAATATTTACATAATATTATTACACATATTTACATTACAAAATATTTACAAATATTAGGTAATGATTGTCAGATAATCATTAAAGGAATAGCAACTAAATACTTTCCAAAACAGAAGAGGAAATACATTGAATATAGGGAAGAAAATCTCAATCTAAAAGAAGGCAGGAAAGAAGAAGACAAAAGAATGAAGATAAGGTAGGAAAAAATTACAAATTAGAAGAGAGAAATAAATCAATAATATACCAGCAATTACACAAAATTTAAGTAACCTAAATGCTTCAAGGAAAACAAAAAAAAAATCCAGAATAAAAATAAAATCTAGCTATATGCTATTTACAAGACTATAGCTAAAACATAGACTTTAGGGTGAAAAATATTAGATGTCAACTACTAGAAATAAAGTCACTTTATAATAACAAAAGATAAAACTCATAAAGTTCTAAAATATATATGCATCTAATAACATCTCAAAATAATCACAAAAATAGATAAGTCCACAATATATAATGGACAATTTTAACATCTCTCCAAGTAATGAGAGACAAATAGTGGTAGGTTTCAAACAACATAACTAACAAACTCCATGTAATGCATACATACAGGGCACTACATGGAACTGAAGAATACATATTTTTTTTTTGAAATGTACATGGAATGGCTGGGCATGGTAGCTCATGCCTGTAATCCTAGTATTCTGGGAAGCTGAGGCAAGTGGATCCCTTGAACTATGGAGTTTGAAACTAGGCTGAGCAAAAGCAAGACCCTGTCTCTATTAAAAATAGAAAGACTAGCTGGGTGTCATGGAAAGCTGTAGACCTAGCTACTCCAGAGGCTGGGGCAAGAGAATCCTTTGAGCCAAGGAGTTTGAGGTTGCTGTGAGCTGTAATGCCAGGGCACACTAGCCTGGGGCAACAAAGTGAGACACTATCATAAAATAAAAATAATAAAATTAAAATATATAAAATATAAAATAAA